CTACAAATATATCAATACATCAAAAATATAAAAAAATCAGATTTTTTGTCAGAACCTAAAAAACAATCCACCTTTAAACATTTTTTCTAAGTTGCTAAAATACAACAAAAATCAAACTTTCGGTGTGGTTTTTAATTACTTATTTTTTCATAATGAGATAGACTTAAAGCGAAGACAACAAATCAAAAAGACTGGCAACTCTTCCATTTTCTCATACGAACGCTATGAGACAGGTACAATCGTGTCATCTGCCGCTCAAAGGTAAATGCTTCGAACGAATTTGATAGGAAAGATTACATCCTCAGAAGAAAGGTTTGTGTATTTGCTCATTTTTCTATGCGTAGCTTCCACCTTCACTCAAGCGCAGCGCTATTGTATCTGTCGCTTGGATTCTGGCAAAGTTGTCAGTCTTCTTGATATGATGTCTTTGCTTAAAGACAAAATGTTTTAACACGGTTTCCTTCAGAATCTGAGGAAAAACATTATTTTTTGTAGATTCAAGATATCTTTGTCCAATATTTTTAGAAAATTCATAATGTACCAGAATTTAGTATTTTCGGGATGGCAAGCTTCCCGTTAAGGGGAAGTTTACCGCTCCGAAAATAATAATTACGTTTCGATTTTTCTAAAATGTTTGGAAAAAGATATAACAAATCTGAAAGAATCACATTTCAGATCAGTTAAAAAATATTGTTTAAGTCATCATGGCATAAAGTTGGACTCAAAAAACCACAAAACATCGACTTTTCGGTTTTGCTGAGAGTCCAATATTTTTTCATGATGAGATAGCAAAAATATTTTTATATGTAATTTTTGGGGCGGTAAACTTTCCCTTAAATTTCTCCTTAGAAAAATGTGCAGAGAATTAAAGAAACAGATTCCTACATTAAATATATTTTGGTTTGGGTATTTAAACTTTGGGGCAAAAACACATACCTGGGATCATGCCCTTGTATTAGAGTGTTTAGTAAGTATTTATTAATACAACAATATTAGAAACACTCAGCCGTTGTTTTTGAAATTGTTTCTTTAAATATTTTTAATATAACTTGCATTCATAACCTGCTAGATTCACTCTGCATTTAAGGATTGGTGTATTTTTCTAGTTTTTTGTTTCGTTTTAAATTTTTGGTTCGACGCATGCCGCAGCACAATTCTATGCTAAATTGTCTGATTACAATATGTATTTTTAGCTATTCTTCCACGGCAAAACTCGATGAAGTATAACGACAGATCTAGCGGGCTCTTAAAATCACATCATTCGTTAATTTTTTACTAGCTTTAATCTTTCAGAAATAGTGTGCACAAAACAGAGACCGTTAACTTTTGTATGTCAAAGGGTTAAAAAAATCTATTATTGATTTAGTATTAAAACTCCAAAGGTTGCAATATACGACTTGTTCATCATAAAACAATTTTTTTTTTATCTCATGATATTTAAAAGTCGACAGAAAAATCTAATAAAATAAAATATACATAAGCGACAGTGAGAATGAACTTAAACAGGTTAGTTATTTATATAAGTAGAAGACAAGTTATAACACAGTTCAGCTAGCAAAATCAAAACTTTGATCCGTTCTCCTTCGTCAGTAGTTATGAAGATTTCCATAAAATAGACTAAGAAATTGCAAAACCGCCGGCGCTTCCAAATCAACAACAATTTTATTGAAAGCCACTGCATAATATGCAAGTACATTATTTTTAGCTCTCCACAAAAAGTAGCGTGTTTTCAATTTATTCTCGAAGCTATGCTAAATGCAATTCTGTACTGTTATTTTGTAAATTAATTTCTCATTAGCTTGCCAAATTAAAACAAAACAAACTTGACCACTACAACAATGGAAGTGACTGTAAAACCTTCACGGCGACGTGAATTTTTATAAATATAAGACATAAATAATCATACCTCATCATTTCCTTTTCTCCTACTAATGAAAATAAAATACATAAAAGGGATAAACGAATTAAACATCGTAGTTAAAATCTATAACGAAAATTGAGAGCCTATATTGCAATAGTTCATAAAAATCGAATCAGAGTCTGAAGACACATGTGAACACTGTACATTCGTATGAATTGACCCTATAAATAACTACTGTATTGAGAAATTTACGTGTCTTGTATTCCATATTCTTACAAACAGAAAAAAAGCTACATAGTATATTTATAAATTTTAGCGTTTCTTACCACATTAATATCCTATATATTTATATTCATCGTGTATTCGACATATAAAAAAACGTTGAAAAGAGTGTTAGAAACAGATGATTAAGGTTTAGCAACCAAACGTGATTTTAAGTTTGTCGTCATTAAAAAGTGAATACCTACATCGGCATAATGGATGCTTGGTAGGTGGAGTGGAATTAGTTCATGATTAGGATTGTGAATGGATGTCTTAGTAAAATAATTGTACAAAAAAATTAAGGGAAAAAATAAGAAGAAGACGACGTAAATTGAGTTATGTAATTCAGTATTATTCCACTGCTGACGCGTGTATTTTATCTATGACATGTGGATTTCCTCAATGCCTAATGACCGCATAGTTATGGGCATAATACGCGTATCTATAAAAGAGTAGTGGAATTCAGAAGAAAACACTCAGTGTTTGGTCTTGACATTATGTTTCTCATGTTTATAATTCATTTATCCTGGAGATAGATCAAAGTGGCACCTTTGTTACAGCGGAAATGTAAAATACGTTAAAAATCAGGCGTTGTCAAGCGTTGCTTTTTAGCATTCACTTGTGGTACAATCATTCACAATTATTATGGATAACTTTTAATGCATTTTTTGAGACAATACGTGAATTGAAATCTAATTTCTATCTAATTTCTAATTGGAAAAATATTTGTTAGGCCAGTCCGGTAAAAATAAAAGCTAGCGAGTAAGAGGGCATAGTGAACAGGTGGAGTATAATGAGCATCCTGTACTTTAGTCTTAAATTTATAATAGTTCATAACAAAATTGGTAGTAGGTTCAATATCATATTAATATTGAAGTTACTACCAATTAATTTGATTTGAAACATTATTCATTTATGGCCAAACTATAGGATGCTCATTACACCCACATGTTCACTATGCCCTTCCTTCCCTCACAATATATTTCTTTTCGATAAAGTTTCTATTTTTTTTAAATCTATTTTTTTTTTCGATATACAAAAAAAAAATAAAAAATCGCCATAACTTTTTTTTTTACTAGCGATGTCTGTTGCGAAATCAACCATACCTGCTAATCGATTAACTCAAAGGCAAATTCGAAAGATATTTTGTGGATAATTCCAAGCGGATTATATAAGCGAAATCCGAGAAGAATGCCAAGGGAATCGAAATTTGAGGATACAATTCCCAAGGAATTCTGAGAAAAATTGCAATGGAATTCCGAGGATAAGACCAATGGCATTCGGAGAATTACAGATAATTTTCCAAGTGAATTTCCATAATAATTCAGAGAATTCTTATGTTTTATCGAGAAATTTTGATTTCTGGCCCTTAGTCCTGTCTTGGCCTGCTAAAACTAGAACTCAGATAGGCCAAATTTTGTTCAAATCGGTTCAATTTATTTCGTTTCTAAATTAAATGCATTTTTTTCAGTTTTACCGAAAGTTCCCGAAGCCATTTTTAACATAGTTTTTGGAATAATGTTGGAACCGTTTTATTCCAAGTAAACATGCAAATGGTAGATAAATAGTATGATGTGTGTGATTCAGTTAGAATCCGGAAAAAAAACAGTTTATTTTATAGCAGCGTGGTTCTGGAATGTTTCAGCAGCAGTTTATTTTGAAAGTTCAATTTTTAAAAAGTTGTGCCAGATGAAAGACGAGGGAATGAATCTTGCACACCAATTTCGAAAATCTAGCGTAGCTTGTTTAAACACAATTGAAAATAAACTTATAATTGATCAAATAAAAAAAAAACTATCCTACCATGGCACGAGAAGATGTCCCCGGCAAATTGAAATTAGTTCGCTGATAAATTTGCACGGAAACTCATGATCTAACTAGGGATTTGCAGTTATGGACGATAAACCCAGGTCACAAACGATACGATTGACTCGAAGAAGCTGCAAAAACGCATTCAACCGTTCCTGTGAAGTTTTGCCCAGATTTGGCAAGCTGCCATTACAGCCGGCAGGTTAGTTAGTTATCTTTAATAACTCAGACGGGAGGTTCTTCAGTGGTACCGTGACAACGGGGTGGATTTCAGCCAAATGATCATTGATTCCGCCCAATCGAGAAATGTTGGGCGGAAATTGAGGAAAACTAACGACTTGAGATTGGGATAAGCTGGCCGCTGAGATTGACCAGTGTCGTGTGTAACAGATAAATAGTGGGAATTTCTAAGAAAATTCTCACAGAACGCCGTCTTAATAATTGTGTGATGTGCAATAAAAATGCTTGCCAAGATAAAGTTGATATTTTACTTCTGGATTCTAACTGGACGTAACGTAACGTAGAATTGTTCGACAGAATGGAAGTTCACTTTCAATGTTTAAACACACCTATTGTGAATAAATCCCTCAAATGTGCCACTTTGATTTCTTAGGTTGGAATGAACGCCATCAGAATGCGAACAATATTTTTGTGAATATGATATACTCTTTAGACATGTAAATTATAGGAAAAACGGAAAAGTCGTGCGTAAATTCTTCGTAAGTTGGACTAGGTTTTCTTGACCAAACTGCCTTTGGGCTCTGTTCAATGTTGTTTAGTAAACATTGGTGATCAGTCGATAGTGACGGTAGGTAAACTCTACAAATTGATAAAAATTAAAACTAGAGATTAGCTGTGATTTTTGGTTGTGTCAACCAATGCAAATAATTGAAGAATCAATAAAAGAAAAATGACAGGAATTTGTAAATATATTCAATGAATTAACATAGACAGAACATTTAGAAGAGATATTAGCATAGCAAAAGAAATGAACAACTCCTACTTACGAAACGATGAAAATTCAAATCCATTAGAAAAGTTTGTTTGCACAACAACTACACGGTAGCAGTTTTGTTTGACCTTTATTATTGAACCAACTACATACGCATATTGTATATTAAGAACATAAATCCGAGTGGGCTAAAACCTTTGGCCTTTGTTCGTTTGTGAGGAATTAAACTGAAAAATAAATCTAAAACGGAATGTCTCATTTACTCGATATGATTTAGTTTGCTTTAATGATCACAGTTCCGATGAAATGAAAAATCCAAATAATATTTTACAGGTAAGAACATTTATTTATGTACCCACATTGTATTGTTATAGCTATGACTAACTAAGTTTACCTTTGGCACCAGGAATTTGTTAGAGCTCATCACGTTGATATCCCCTACTTGGAGTTTGGTACACCATATCTTCAATGAATGTTTTCTGCTCAATCTGAAATGTATGATTTTTTTATGAATAAGAGTAGATCATGGCATTTAAATCATGCATTTTTTCGAGGTATAATTTGATTAGAAAATGATGAATTCTTTTTTACGATAAAATAAAAATCAATCCACTTAGGTTTTACCTCGTTGTCTACATCATTATCTTTGGTTTCAGCTTCATTCTCATCTCCTTGATCGTCGCTAGATGACTCGGTTATGAGTTCCTCTTCCGAATCGGCGAGATTATTAAACTCTTCTTTTATAAACGATGCTAATTTGTCTTCATACAAGTTCCTATCATGGTATTCGTTTGCTTCCTGAAATAAACTACTGTTATCACTTGAAAACTAACATTGGAATCTATTGTTTTCGTACCCTACGAACTTTGAAGAAATTTTCGTTAAGCATTCCCTTGGTTTCCTTTTCGATCATTTTTAAGTTATTCAACATATCAATATCGCCCTTATTAAACAATAAATAGCTCAAACCTGCGCGATAAGATTCTTCAAATTTACCAGCTGAAATGAATTACCTTATTATTACGTTCACTTATTTTATGTGAATATTTTACCTTCGTAGTACGCCATTTGAAGGTACTGATAATGACCGGCAAATAAGTTGTAATAATACTTTCCGCGCACCATACCCATCTCCCGCGTGCAATTTCTTTTGCAATATAACACATTTGCGAAGTGATCTAAAATTGAACACCAAACATAATCATTGCGAGTTATTTTTAGCAATTGTTAGTGGGTGACTTCTTAAGTATAATATAAATTGATTTGAAAACCTATTCCACCTGAACAAGTTTGATAAAGTCAGAAACATAAATAACGGTCCGGATCTCCACATATCAAATAGAAAAACTTAGAGAATAATTTTCAAACTGATTTGTCAAACATCGAATAAATCTTAACCTCAAAAATAACGTTTTCGAACTTCCCTTATTGGCAGGATCTTCAGATCTAAGATAGATCTAGATTTCAATTTTGATCGAGCAAAATTTAAAATGAAATCACGGAAATGGTATTAAAAGGTGTTTCAAGTAATAATTATCAAATCCCACGTGTCCCTCAATGATATAAGTTGAATGTAAAATCTTTCCTGTTCCGTGGTAGGAGATGAAATGCCGTATGTTCTAACTACGCTTTGGAACGCTCAGCTAAGTTTATTTACCATCCACATAATTAATTCTGTTTATCCATATAAATTTCAACTATAATTTTATTACTAAATAGTTACGTGCTGTATGATCCCGTAGTGGAGCTCTTCTATCCTTTATAGAAAACACCAAACACGTCTGTTCGTCTCCAATGCTGTATTTCAACCAAATCCCGTTTATAATTCACCCTGCATATTGCCTTCGTACCCTCACCTTCTTACTCTTTCAATCTGTCTCTCGTAAACCAACTCTCTCCCTCTGTTTGCTCACAACCCTACCCTCAAAGAAGTATTTTTATTCTGGAAGTGTGAATACACTTCGTTATCACGGCGCAATATCGATCTCCTCTCCGCTTCTGTTTGCATGCCTTTTCGGCTCTATCGACCACTGTCCAAATTGCATCCAATTGATGTCCCTTTTCGGAATCCTAACCAGGCTTCCAAATAGTACAGCCTTCTCGCGACAGTTGATTTATACCTGAATTGACTGTTGCTTTGTGTGCTTTACTACCGCTTGCTACCGTACGTTCAGATCTGAATTCGAAGTGTATTGGCAACAGCGCACGCACGAAAGAATGAAAGCTGTATTAGAACAGTCGCATCTACACCCGCTTTGCAAAAATCATCGTGCTTGGAACGTAGTGAACCGAATAGGCTGTATTACATTTTTTTATGACCAGGGTTTCAATGTTTCTGTCGTCATGACACAAACCGACGACATCCCTCAGCTTACCCAAGTTGCTGTCTCGAAAAGGCTGTCACGAAACATTATATACAATTGATATACGGCAGTGGAGTATGGAAGATACCCAGAAGAATGATCCCGAACAGACACGTCGGCCCGATGTCGGATCAATGTAAGGTCAATTTATGACCGACTTCGGTCAAATGTCGTTTCGATGTCGGGTAATTTCTGTGTTTATGTAGGGTCAACATCGGGTTGGGGTTTGGTAGAAGTCAGGTTGGTGTCAGGTAGGCTTATATTTTTCGCCAGAACGTCGAAATGTCTAATCTGCTCAAGACCGCGCGTTTCAAAAAAAAATCGCATGCAAATTTTGCAATGGGCAGCACGAACGTGATAGCAACCGAACGAGCTTCGGCGTCACACTGGTAGTGTAGTAGCAGTATTACGACATACAAACAAAATTTCAAAGACAGTAGCAACGAATCGGCAGTTTTACGGACTGCTTATTGTATGTACGAGGAACGTTACATCCGAAGCTGTCATAGCCCAACGAACAAAATACATGACTAAGAACGAGCTGTCGTGTACTGCACAAGACGGCAACGTTGCATGTCGTATAACAGCCTCACTGTGGGCTGTCGCTTATAGCTCAATCTCAAGGCTGTCGTAGGAAAAAGAAAGCGACAGCCGTTGAAATACTGTCATTAGGCGGTACTTTTGGTATGCCTGATCCTAATTGCCTCTCCGACAATCCGTGCTCACTCTATATGCATTTCGTAAGTCTGCGTCCTTGTCCCTCTCCGTACGGTGTAGGTGGTCAGGTCACTTGGTCGTGGTTCGGGAAAAGGCCTTCCACGATGATTTTCAGCTTTTGTGGGAACATTTCAGCAGGCCTTCGTCTTCCACTTTCGGTCGCAAGTTCTCGTCCTTCGTACTGCCACAGTATTTCGTTGGCCGATGCCATATCGGATCGCCTGATGGTCGCTACGGGTGTATCCTTCGCACACTCCAATTCATGTTTGCGACCAGCGACGGACTGCGGAACGTGACGTCGATAATGGATTCCCCGACATCTCTGCGAAAAGTGCTGCTGGTGCCTTCGTTGGCCAGTCTAACAATTACACTGTGCAACTCGAATTTCCAGGACATACACATGTTTACATATTTGACATTTTTATGGTCACCTGAGCTAAAGTCTAGAACAGCGGTTTTCAACCTTTTTCGAGTGACGTACCCCTTAGCAAAAGATCAATAAAAATTGTACCTTATGATTTTCAATGTCGATATTTAAAGAACAAGGTCACCTCAAAGAACGAGATGATTTAAAAACGTATAGATTGACCATGAGATTCATCATCAATCATTAACAACATAAGTGAATGTTATGTCGAGGAATACCTTTTTTTTTCCTTTGGTTTGTTTTTTCCGTCGATCTTGTTTTCCGTGCTGAGCACCAATGCTACCGACGTGCCAGGAAGGCAGCTCCCACACCTGGACCCTACCTATCGACCCATCAACTCATGAACCGGGGACCAACGGCTTTACTTCCCATCCGAAGGAAGGCGTGATCAGAGATGTTATGCCTCAGAACATCCCGGCGGCGCCGACTGGAATTGAACCCAGGCCTGTTGGGGTGAGAGGTAATCACGCTTACCACTACACCACCGGCGTTGTTATCGAGGAATACCTGTATATTTCGATAAAAAAATTGTAAAAATTTGCATAGCTTTTATAAACTTCACTTGTCTATTAGTTTGAGTTTTGGTAAGTGTAAATTGATAACTTCAGTCTGTACAGTTTATTAAAATGTTTAGTTTCACATTACTCAAATAGTTAGTGTAATTGGCGGTAGGCTGGAAAACTACTCTACAGTACCGGACTCATGAATGTACCATCTTATAATATTGTTTGTCCAAAAAAGTGCCAATAGATTCCAGGATGTGTATTAAAGAATTTGAAATCATGACTGATGGTTTACCAAATATTCAAAGATATAGTCATGAGGAGCTTGATTTATGACTGAGTCTGTGTAGTTTGAGCAATTTAAGGAAAGCGTTTCAATACCGTTTTCAATATTCTGGAAGTACAAAGAAATAAATTAACGGATCAGCTATTTATGTCCGGTAATGTACAAAACTCTAAAGGCAGCAAAGATTTTACGCATTGTGATTTAATTGAAAACAAGGAAATGATTGACAATTTTTCAATTGGAAATATAAATATATAAACTGGAACATTTCCGCCGTCCATGGAATATTTCTTGGCGTACCCCCTAATGTGTTTCGGCATATTCCAGGATGAGAACAACGGTTCCTCGAGTATTTTTCGAGTAATTCAACATGCTTAGGTTGACAATAAATGGCGAAAATCGTTAATAATATCCCATTTCGGTACCTAGTTCTAGACTTTTAATCAAGGGATCACAGTTTAATCAAATATGTAGGTATATATATATTTTCTCTCGGCATCAAATTGGCACAGTGATATTATTTAAAAATTAAAGTGTGCTGATTTTCACGTTTATAAAAAATAGCCAGTGCTTCCTATAGTAAAGAGGCATTCCAGCACCAGCACTAACAAATACTTGTGCCGTTCAATGTGTACAAAAACAGCTTTTAAGGTTCAATTTACTTTGATGCGTTTTCGAAAAATACAAAAGCAGTTTTTTCGATGCATCATTGCAGATAGCAAAAAACTCGCGTCATTTTGTGTAAAATAGCAACAAGAATAGAATGACGCGAGCTTTTTGCAATCTGAAATAATGCGTCGAAAAAAAAACTGCATTTGAATTTTTCGAAAATACATCAAAGTAAATTGAACCTTAAAACGATAGAGAGAACGTTTAATTACTTCCATACTTACTTCCAATGGCTGACACAAAATCGGGCATGAACCCATGATCAAATTCTCCTTCACAGTATGCTCGACACTGGTTTTCATCATAGATGAATTGCATTACCGAACTTTCCATGACTGAAATGACAGTCTGCCATTCTTTGTCATTAATAGCGAGTATACCGGCAACGAATAGCTTAACAAATTTCTACAATAAAATCATTAACCAAAAAATTTTTAACCTTAAATCAAGTTTTACATGCCTTTTCCTCCAAATCCACAATTCCCTCTTTATCAACGCCTGGTTTCTCGATAGCAAGCTCGAAGTTCTTTTTCATAATCTCATCACCGGGGTGTTTAACCATGTAGGTTAATGCTGCGGATGCTGCTAACGTTACTTGATTCGTCTGAAGTACGGTCCAACTAGATATAATAGATGCACATATGTGGACGATATGGTCATACTTACTTTTGTGTAGCAGTTATGCAGATAAGAGTATGCTTCTCTGTTTTGAAATATATCCATAAAATAATTGTCAAAATCGCCTTCGAATGGTAAGTAATTAGAATTACGATTTCGACATTTTGTAAGGCATAGAGTTCGTTTGAGTATCAGTTCATAAAAGTGAAGATTTTCCAGATCGTTGGGATGGAGAAAACCGCCTTTATTTTTTATATCCCTATTCTTGTACTCGCATTCAATTCTGCAATTTGCTGTAGCTTCATAGTAATTTTTGTACTTATCAAGAGCAAACTCCAGAAAGTACACGCAATCTTCAAACTCGTTCGACAAATAACTCTGCACTCCTCGTTCGTACAGATCAATGAATGATTCCGACCAGTTGTTACTTTCAGTATCTTCTGCTACAACATATTGTGTTGTAAGTAAAATATATGCTAACAATGTACACTTGCGGAACATTATGAATTAGTAGCTCAAGCGAATAATTTAACAGAACCACGCATCGAAATTCAGTCACTTTCTGGCTGGACCGGTCTTAACTGTGAGACATAAGAACATAAGAAACCAGATGTTTCCGTCTGCGTGCCTTTTGCTTTAATCAGTGTACGATCGAGTAGAGTTTATTTACTACTTGATCATAGCATGTATATGTGGTTGTGAGTACTGTTGGAACGATGTAACACACATAGTAGTGGTGAAACATACATGAGTATCAATCCGGCGTGTGCATTCTGTGCTTGTTACACGTGTTGCCAAATTAAAAACGATTTTTGCGGACAGCAGTTTATTACTTGTCCTCTTTTAGCATCATATTTGACAAAATGAGTGAGAAAATGGAACAAACATTTTCGTCTATTACAACCCTCCCAGTGGACGGATTTGTAAACTTTTGAATTTCACAATATCACTAACAATAAGAGTAGATTTTTTCACTACGTTTGCGTTTGTCAAAAATGTTTCAGAAAAACAAGATGCAAGAGAAAAAAAGAAGGAAAAATAATGATACACAGCTTGAAAATCAAATATGGTCCTGGGCCTTGCCCAAAGTACAATGAGACAATGACGAAGGTTAGATCAATTTAAATCAACCATCGGAAGGAACTGTTAACCGTCAGCAGTGTACAGTGAGTCAGGATTAAATCTAACAGGAAAAAAATAATTACAGGATTGCATCCAATTTAGTTGACATGTGTTCAGTGAAGCTCATGGGATTAGTTAGGACAAAAAAGGTTATAGAGGTTATAGAGGATACACACTTAATCAAGCTCGGTAAAATGTCCAACAGCCGATTACCTCGGCATTCACTTTTGCTGATATCTCTTCAAAATATCTGTTTGTTAGCTGATATCTCAGCAAAATGTTATTTATTAGCTGAGTCTCGGCAAATGTTTTACTGAATCTCAGCAAAATATATTGCAGAACTGCTCGGCTGTTGGAATCTCGGCGAAAAAATTTAAGTTTGTAGAGGTTTGCTGTCTTCGGCAAAGCTGTACAACGTAAAATTTCATGAAAAGTTGCCAAAGACATATAAGCTGTACATCTTCAAACAACTGAGATACACGAAGTTTTATGAAAATTTGTCTGAAATTCGCGTTATTAGCACCGACAAACCGACATGAATGACCATATCAAAAACAATAAAATTTCTGACCAAACCACACTACTGACATCTTGCTCCGTGTTCGCGGGAAATAATTAGCTAAGCCATTAGCCCGGAAAAGTTATGAAGTGGTTCGTGTCTGATCTATTCTGGACAAATTATTTTTATCTAGACCAAAAAATCATATGGTTTTGATAGTTCGAATACTTTTATAGCGGCGCCGGTGGTGTAGTGGTAAGCGTGATTACCTCTCACCCCAGCAGGTTTGGGTTCAATCCCAGTCGGCGCCGCCGGGATGTTCTGAGGCATAACATCTCTGATCACGCCACGATCTTTTAAACCCCAGCGAACCGGGAAAATCTGGAAATCCGGTATTTGAAAAGTAACCGGGAATTTGATGGGAGAACCTGAAAAAAATCAATAAACCCAATACTTATTGAGCTGGGAACTGTTCATTAACTACGTAGACAGTTTTTTTTTTTGGGATTCTTGCCGCCCCCTCCCTCTGCGTAGACAATTATATAATACTCGACTTATGAACAACACATTTGAATGTCAAATCTTATGAAAGATTTTCGTCTAACACGAGGCAGCCCTTAGCCATTCTATTTTCCCAAGCGTTAATATACGAGTGGTCTAGACACAGGATCCGTAATCTCAACGTCCATGGTTCGGTTCCAGTCTGCTCCGTTTTATTAATTTTTAGTCTGCATTATTTTTCATAAGGGAAATCAATGAAATTCATACCGATTTCTTATGACTAAAATTCATAAGTGGTTCTTATGGAATTCTTACGTTCACGATAACGCCTTCCTTCGCAAGGGAAGTAATGCCGTTGGTCCCCGGTCCTTGGTTCGATAGGTACACTGAGGCAAATAGACTAAAGAATTTCATAAGGCTCAACTTATGAACAACACATATGAATTTCATAAGCATGACTTATGAATGATTTTCGAGTAACATGAGGTAGCTCTTATACGCCTTTAACCTTTTATTTTCCCAAGCGTTGAAAGACGAGTGGTCAAAACACGGGCTCCGTAATCTCAACGTCCATTGTTCGGTTCCAGTCTGCTCCGATTTATTATTTTTTTGTCAACATTATTTTTCATAAGGCAAATCAATGAAATTCATGCTGATTTCTTGTGGCTAAAATTCATAAGTGTTTCTTATGGAATTCTTACGTTCTTTTGCATGTGTGTAGGGTCCAGCTTTGGGAGCTGACTTTCTGGCGTCGGTAGCATTGATACTCAATACGGAAATAAAGATCATAAAATCCCCTCGGTCCTCTTCTAACCGTTAATCTTTATTAAATGGACATATTATTTGAATGAAATTGTTAAAATATATTCTTGTTCGGCGGAAAACAACCAAACCGCGTTTTTTCATCAGTGATGATATTGGTGGTTACGTTGACTATGCAATCACGGACAGTGCTGTGGAGCCTGCTTAATAAACATTTTTCATGTCCCATCGAACTATTTTTTAATTTATTTAATTTAATAATAGTTTAGAATCGATTGACCATTCTAGGCAGCAATTATTGATTGATTGTTCTAAGTAGCGTGCTTGGAACATTTTCAAACCCTTACATATTGTATTCACATCATAGTACAGCTAGTATGAGTATCACTTATAGTTCTGTTTTGAATTGTTCGAGCACTGCTTTGAATGATTCGAATAGTGCCCGTGAAAATTTATCGAACGAAATTATTTTCAAGCTAACTATAAGTGAGCTGTATTACATGGCGACATTGAAAACACTTGCTTTTCCCGCATTTTGATCATTTACAAATGGGAAATAAGTTAAAGTAATTGATAAAATATAAGTGATTTTAGTGTTTTAATATACACAAACATATTTACATCAAAGACTCGTAATATTTTAAATTCAAAGCAAGAAATTGTAATCACAATATCTCGTAATTGATAAATTAGGTACAATGTTGTGTGCATATATGGTTTGACTGCTTCTTCTCATGGCGAATACACAACATAACAATTGTCTATCTCTTTCGTGATTTGCAGCTGATTCTCTATTCCTACACTTCAACATTGTGCTAGAGTAATGGTCTTATAATACTTCACACTACTACATGCTAATATTATCTTGGTACCTTAATGTGTTTGTTATCACAATAAAGCTGCAAGAAGACCGAGCAAAACATTATAGACTTTAAGTAAATTAAACACCATTTTGAGTGGTAGATTGAATATCAGTGGAATTATTTTCGATTCAAGTTTTCTCCATTAATATGACATAACAAGTTTTGCAGGTCAATGAGTTTATCTGAAACAAGATGTAAATCGTTTGAATTGAGCAAGTGAGTGAGGGATTTTTCCGAAGGGATAGTTTAATTTGCAATTTATGTGACGTCATCTTTCAGCTGCAATTTCTTTTTACATCATTCACTGACAAAGATATTTGTGTACCGTTTCGTGGGTTATTTTCGTTCAGGAATAGTGCATTTTGCTGAATTATTATGACTTTAAGGTATGTACTACCAGTGTTCCTAAGATAATCATGTCATACAGAGCAGAATGTTATTATTGATCTTTCGTTGAAAAAAATAAATAATAGTGGACCATATTCTTTTAGTTTACTTGTTATGTTTTATTGAATAATAGATGGGTTACAATGGATAATGTAACATTTTCACAGGTCGGTAATAAAATCTACATGTTATATGTTGTTGATTACGAGATCTAGCACGTAGTGGTGCTGTATAGTGTGTATTAGTGCCATACTGATGTCTAATCAAACCAACTCGAAAGGGTTACAATGCGGTCATAGTTTCTATAAGTGTATGCAAAATAAAGTGAATTCGTTAAGAAAACGCTAAAATTAATAAATCTTCTTGGACATATCGGTAAAAATCTGTGTATGCCAGTAAAACGATATGTTGTTTTTCGGTACGACGAACAAATAAGCTCACCTAAATGCACCACGTATAGGTGAAGAGGATGTGTGCTATGGCGTGTGAAGCTGCCTATCAAAAAGTTTAACGTAAGGATCTCTACTCGTAGATGTGTTATAACAGCCTTAATATGCAAAGTTGATCAAAAGCCATTGTTCGTAGAACAGTTAAGTTGATTGTTCGTTTCTACACAAACACAATTTTTTTATGTTTCTATGTTACTAAAATTACCACAAATACAGTTTTAACAACATTCCTTTTTTAATTCAATATTTTAATGTTACACCGAAAATAGTTTTCATGTAGCTTCCATTGAAAACGCACATGCTTTTCATCCATAATCAAAATTAATGGAATTCATCTGAATGATTTTTCATATGAATTTCATCGGCCTCATAATATTCATGTGATTTTGTGGTGGAATTTGCAGCTATGTGATCACAGGAAAGCTATGTGAAATTCACATGGATTTCATCCATTAGATATGTGATAAATTTTTTGAGTTTAGAATCATTTGGTTTTTGTTGTGTTCGCTTTAGCTATTATGTCTGAGCTGGAACTTTACCTCTACTCTCACCGTTAAGTTCTTATGCACATTTACAGTTATTAATAGAGAACATTCTAAGCCTACGCATTGTGTACAATGATGCTCTTTGTCCAGGGAAGTCGAGAAAATTTCCAACCCGAAAATATACTCGCCGGTCCGAACTCGAATTCATTGCCTCCAGCATGGTATGGTGCAAAGTCGACTAACCACACACTTGATTTTTAACTTTTCTAAGTTTATAACTTTTCAAGCGAAAGTGGCTAAACAATTAATTCAGTCCCATTCACGTAGAAAAAATAAGAAAGAACTTTCGACACACCATAGTTTTAACGGTAGGCTCAAAATAAAAGAATTGCATCTCGTTAACCTATACTGTCGTGAGACAAAAAAGTGACGTATACGCCACTTTGGGTTATAATTAGCGATTGAAATCAAACTACGATGAAAATTTAACTTTTTATCATTTAAATGTTCTTTAAGGTAATTGTTTGTAGAGTGCACAAATGGCCGGCAAGTACGCTATACTTGCACTTGCACTTTCACTTTTAATTTGTTGTTGTTTCTTTATTAAGGAGACTATCAGCGCAAGGCTGGTTCGTCTCCGGCCACTTGGAATTTCAATTATACAAATCTTAGAAATTAGTGCCTCATTTCACCTGAAATTGCTACTACATGTATTCTGCAGTGCAGCAAACATAAAGTAACAATTTCATTGTGGTACGTGTCGTGGAAGCTGTTATCTGTACAATTGAAGTTACGAAACAGTTACGAGAATAAGGATCTCACAGCGATACGCCTTGAGTATCGTTAAGCATTATCACACACATAATATATGCACATAGACGTAATATTTAATAAAAAAAATCCGCTATAACGAACCATCCGGTATTTGGTAAATTACGGTATAGGGGAAATGGTCCTTATTTGGGCCCATACATATATTCAGCAATCGCCTAAATTTTCAATAGCGACCAAAAATATCCATTAGTACCGTCCCAATCACGTGTTCATCTAGATAAAATTGATAAATAGCAGATTTTTAGCGATGGGCTCAATCTTAGATCCATTAGAGCCATTTCCCCTAGTTCAAAAATGTTGAAATAAACTGTTTATCAAAATTAAATCTCATGAACTATTATGTCCGAGGCTTCCTTACCCGAGCAGGAACGAATATATCGATACCTTAAATTTGTATGGATAAGCCTGACATAAGAGGTAAAATACCAAAAAAGAAAATGTTCCCACAATACCATTCCAATACCAAATTATGCAAATGCAATTCCAAAACAATACCATGCAGGTATTCTTTTGGTATCCAAACATAAATTTTTGATATTTACAAAGTATTTTGAATGCAAGTTTTTGGTATTATTCTTTGGTATTTCACCTCTTGCTTGTCATGCTGATCAACACCAAATTTTGGTATCAGGTCAGAATTAGGTATTCATTAGATATTTTCACCTGCTCTGGTAAAGATGATCATAGAAGATTAGAGATTTCAAATCTGCTTTTGTAATACATTCAAAAATCGGTTTAAGCGACCCACATTTTACTAAAGGCACTCTGTCTTTGCTTTGTCTTATTTTAGCAAACAATATATTCGCTTCTGAGCATTTCCACACCAACTGATGAAACGATTAGACTCTACACTCTCCGATTGCGTCTATTCACATTTTTATTTGAAAGCTTATCAAAAATGCTAACTTTTACATATTTTCATAAAAGTTGCACAAAAAGTTCTTAACTTTACCAATATGTTTTACGATTTGTGTAAATTTTAACCTCGATTTTAACACAAATCGTAAAGCATATGGTTAAATTGTATGGTTAAATCTTTTTATCATGGTCAAAATTGTTGCTAATTTCTTGTAAAAAAAATTCTCACAGGTTAAGCTTTGCTTTCTGAGCAAACAATTTACAAAAATAAATGTTTATCGTTTTTGAGTTACGATTTTTTGAAATTATCATGTTTAGAAATTTCGCTCATTACTCCAATACGACTAGATTACCCTGCGTCTCCATTGATACATATCGAATGAAACATGGTTACATTACTTACTTATTTCAATTTCTGATCCTAGACTACTTTTGCGTTATGTGTAAATAATAATTACTACAGTGATTCATAGCATAGGAATTCAAATAGAATATTTTTATATTAAATTTGGGTAGTACATCTTTCACGGACTGTTTGGAACTCCATATCTACTCCATATTTGGACTAGAATCAATGCTTTGATAAGACAATCTTATGGTTTCCAACTATGCACATGGCTGTTTTGAAATAAAATTCATTAATTTTTATTTTTTTTTATTTGTAGACATAAAACATGCTTAAAGATACTTTCAAAGCTACACAGAATGTTCTTCTTCTGAGAACGAGAATCGTTTCACAATAATATAATTTTCATTTTCTGGCACTAAACTATGATATGACTGTTCCGTAAATTTGTTTGGCACGATTATAACGGGTTTTAAGTTTTCTTTCCATCGCTTTATGATCTGCGTCTGAAAAAAAAGCCATAGTGCATTTTTGAATCGATTTTAGAAATTGCCCATGTATAAAGCTCTTTAGCAGTTGTAATGAAATGCCCCTGAAAACTTGCTTTAGCAGCATTTCGTTTCAAGACTCCTCCCAAAGCATCACATGGACCTTTACCTTGGCATATGGCGAAAAAGTTCCACTCCGCATCTATACCAAAATCCTTTTTCATGTGGCACAAATTAAAAGCTGTCATCTTATTTTTGTACTGACTGCCTGATCCATCTGAGAAAAAGTGAATTTTCTTAAGGCTGGTGATCTTACTCTTGATGAAATTTATACAATTAACTACGAATAATCGAACTGAAACATAGTTGTGTTTGGTGAACTCCGCGATTGCACATTGGTGAACTCCGCGAGTAAACATTACATCTTTGGTATGATCATCTCTATAATAAATAGCAAATGAATGTATAGTGCACTGTGCGTTTGCCCAATGAAATCCTTGTACAGCGTCTTGTACAACAAATGAAAAGTTTTCAGAAAAATCACATTTCGTTACTTTCAAGTTACTTTTGACATATTTCAAGTATTTACCTCTATGTTCAGCTATGAAATTATGTGGTGATAAATCGGATAACTTTTCCAAAAAACATGTCTATAAACTTTTGAGTTTCCAACTGCACTAAACCCATGATACAACGGTCAGCTTGACGCCATTGTTTAAATTTTAAGGATTCCACATTTCCATCGGTCAGGATAGTAACCATTTCTGAAGTCAAATTTTGTGTACCTGGGCAATGTTCACACATTTTTAACCAACACTGTTCTGTGGGGTTGGTGCAAAGAATTTAAAAAAAAAACAAGTCATGGTATGATTTCACATCAGCTGGAAGTGACTTTCTATCTTGAAGAGTTTTAAAAATTAATTTAACATTTTGGTGGTAAACACACACACAAACAGTATGTGTGCCACTCGTTCCTGCCAGAATGCAATGCTTAGGGCGGTTACTTGCAAACATTGAAAACCCTATTTTAGTTGCGGGATATTGATCCTTGAAAATGGCATAAACTTCTTGCAAATTACACAATACTAATCTTCGTTGTATATAAACCTTACCATCAACATTTTTTGTAATAACATAGTCGCGTTTTCCTGGACAGGCTCGGCTTATTTCGTCACTGATATAGAAATCACACACGAGTGATAAAGTTTCTTCTGCTCGTCATTATCCCCTTGTCCTCCTGTAGTGTTTTGGTTCGATCCGCCATATATTGAGAAACACCGAATTCCGTCGTTATTTTAAATGCTGATCAGCTTCTAGGTAAAGTCGTGATAATGCGATACTTCTCCTTACTATCATGAGTTTCTAGAAACTTTTCCTTGAGTTGCTGAATGATTTCATCATCGTTTGTAGTAGGCACACTGTCAGTACTTCTGATCGATTGTAAACTGGGTGCTTCTAGTGACTCTGAAAATGAAGTTAAAAAAACATATTTGACATTACTGTAAACACTACCTGCCTGACGTTACAAAGTTTTCAGAA